CCCCAAAACCCCAAAACCCCAAAACCCCTCCACTCAAATTCAAAATTGAAGCTAATTCTGAATGGTTGTCAAAATTTTACAATAAAGATGCCTAATCCCGAATTATTCAAAATACTTAGTCAAAGAGCCACTGCTTATTTGATTTCTTTAATGTCAATTTTTGGGTCGTAAGGGTTCCACTCTTCATCGTCATCCTCCTTCTTTTCATTAGTATAAATCCAGATGGAGATGCAGATGAACAGGACCAGCATTATTGTCCAGAATACTTTGATGTAGAATGGGAAGGGTTTCCCAGTGTACACATCTGAGTCTCTGATACTTATTCCAGCCTCCATGCAGAGCATCAGGATTGTCAACCAGAGATGGGGTCTGACTCTTTTGGAGTATTTATTTGTCACATAGTCGAATAGCTCCTCAGATGCTGCTAGGATCAGCGGACACCAGAGTAATAACCTTAGCTTCAGCAAGTAGTGGTTTGGAGGTACAAGAAGCACTGTCTTCATGAAGAAGTTATTTCAGTCGATCATTAAGCCCATTGCTCAGTACCCAATCACTGTGTAGAACCTCTTGAGGCTCTTAAATACTTTCCAATCATGCTGCATGAAGAAGTTCGGCTGCAGCTTGAGAACCGCTCTCTTTATCGATGAGCATTGGTTTAGATACCTCATTTGCGCTGATTTCTATGCGGAATTGTTAGCGAGGAAAATCTTGAGATTAAGAGTTGGAAGAAATTTTGGGATTGGCTTAAAAAGCTTTGTTTGAGTTGATAAAGAGGCATGAAATTATACACACGAAAATTCTCTAATTTGTGATGAAATAATATTATTCTGATGCTTTATTAGTCTTGCTTTGTGAAAGATTAGTTGTTCTTTATAGATTTAATGTAATTATGTACTAGTATGCTTCCTTAAGTTAATATCAACTGTTTAAATTTTAGAATCTGATAAGGTCTTTCATATTCAGGAAAATATTTTTATGAAATAAGGAAACCAACCAGGATAGTGAGCTTATATTTAAGAAAGATATATACATCAAAGATCCTTTGACAGAAATGCTTTATTGCTAGCAAATCATGCCTCAGATACAAACTATTTGAACTTACATGATCTTTTTCATATATCCAGTTGATCTTATTGACCGAATAATATTTCAGGATATAAGACCCAATCACCATTCCGAGAAGGTTAGCTCCGAACAAGTCAAGAATGAGGTGGTCCCACCATCATTCTTTGAAGTTAGGAAGCCAATGATTGAGAGTGAGCTCTGCTATCTCAAAACCAATGCTTCAGATCCAGCAAACTTTGATGTCTCTGATGATCAGAACTTTGCATATCCATCCTAGGAGATGAGCAAAAGTGTGGACGTCAAAGAATGAATCTCTAAAATTTCTAAAGGCAGACACAGGGTCTTCAGGAGTATAGATTCTGCAGTCCTCAGCATAGCTTCTTTCAGGAAGTGTCTCTCCAAGAGTTTCATCAAAGATCTTGAAAGTTTTTCTCGCTTCGTCGAGTGGCAAAATTGAGATGTAAGTCAAGAAACCTAGATAGAGAAGGTTGGCACCCAAAACACCTCTCCAGATGAAAGGGTGAGGTCTGGTCACTATTGTATCTGGCATGTAAAAGCAGCTAAACATGAGGAAGAAGAACATTGCGCCTTTAAGACCCAATATCTTAAGGTCTTCCACAGGCCATCCCCTGGTGTAGTAGATCAGGACGTTTAGAGCGATTACTCCAAGACCGAGGAAGGTCAAGGTATGGGATACATAAAAATACTTGTTGTATTCAACAGTTTCCAAATTCTTCAGTCTTAAAATATGAGGTGAATCGTAAAGCTTAGGAGGAACAATGGATTGCATCCCAACCTCCCTCTTTGTATAAGCTGACTGTTGCTTATCCTTTTTGGGCATTTTTATTTTAGATTTAAACATCCCAAATTGAGTATTTTAAGGGGTTTTGGGGTTTTGGGGTTTTGGGG